GAACAAAGGGCAGTCCAGCCCCCCCACCCCAGAGGCTCGCGAAAACAACCCAAGAAAGGAAGAACCAGAATCTCCTCCTCGGGACAATTTTGTCTTGTTTTGTTTTGTTTTCTCCTGTTTCTTAAAGACGTGAAAGCTGCAGGCGACTCCTGAGGTTCCAAGACAGAAACACTATGCATCATCCAAACGCAAGACCGTGTGAATCCTGGCCAGGCCGGCAGCACCGGAGACAGGCTGGACTTAGACTTTTTCGTCAGAGCAAGTGTGGAGGATGGTGGAGAATCGTGCGACCGATTTGCTCAATCTCCCTGCCTGTCTGGACTTTGTAATTATTTTTTAGCAGTAATTAAAGAAAAAAAAAGTCCTCTGTGAGGAATATTCTCTATTTTAAATATTTTTAGTATGTACTGTGTATGATTCATTACCATTTGAGGGGATTTATACATATTTTTAGATAAACTAAATGCTCTTATTTTTCCAACAGCTTAACTACTTAGTTGAACAGTGTGCCCTAGCTTTTCCTGCAACCAGAGTATTTTTGTACAGATTTGCTTTCTCCTACAAAAAAGAAGGAAAAAAAAAGTGTCATGATATTAACATAAAAAAGACAGAAATGTGTTCTGTGATTAGTTTTGGGGGGTGGGCTTTGCTTAATTCCTCAGGCTTTCAGAGATTGAAGGGGAGCTACCTTAATACAGAAAAAAATAAACTAAAGCCTTATTTTGCAGATATGGGAGTAAACAAATAGTCTAGAGACACATTTGGTAAGCTTTATCATATATGTATAGATATATATTTTAAACAAGAGGAAAACACCTTGAGCCTTAAAACCATGCTGCTGGAAAAACACTTGTGCTCTTTTTTTTTTTTAGTGTGAGTCCTCTGGCCTTTACTTGTTCCCTGCAGTCCTAAGGAAGAAGCGAAAGGCCAGAAAAGGAGGCAGAATCTGTTTAGGGACGGAGGTCTGCAGCCCGCAAGTGCCCCAGAGCACTGCTCCCTGGTTGCCCACCGGCCCCCATGTGGACCGCAGATGCTGGAGTCTGCCTTGCTTACATTGTCACCTGTGCCTCTCTGAACACCAGCAGTTAACCTTCAAGACATTCCACGTGCTAAAAAAATTATTTATTTTGCAAGGAGAGGTTTTAATTGAAAAAAAATCTTTCCTCTTTTTTTTTTTTTCCTTTAATTTGCCTTCTTTAAAATAGGTTGTTGGAGCCTTCCTCAAAGGGTATGGTCATCTGATGTTAAATTATGTTCTTAACTGTAACCAGTTTTTTTATTTATCTCTTTAATCTTTTTTATTATTAAAAGCAAGTTTCTTTGGATTCTTCATCCTAGAATTGTACAAATTCCTTTTTGTCCGTCTTTTTTTTTTTTCCTTTGTTGTTTTTGTTGAAAACAAACTGGAAGCTTGTTTCTCTCTCTCTCTTTCTCTCTTTGTATAAATGAGAGATTTGCAAATGTAGTCCATCACTGAGTACATCACAGTGTTTTCTGCCACAGACTTTTGGGCTGCTTCAATTGTGTGTGTGTGTGTGTGTGTGTGTGTTTGTGTGTGTGGCACAAAACAATGCAAGTATGTGTCACAGATACTCCTCTGTGAGTCCTCAGAGGGTGAACGCACACCGGGAGGGGAAAGGGCCCACTGACAGACCTTCCTTAATTACTGCTGTGGCTGGAGAGTTCAAGGATTGCTTTTTAAAAAAGACAGCAGACTTTTTTTTTTTATTATTTAAAAAAAGATATATTAACAGTTTTAGAAGTTGGTAGAATAAAATCTTAAAGCACTCTTATAATATGGCATCTTTCAATTTCTGTATAAAAGCAGATCTTTTTAAAAAGTATTTCTGTAACTTAAGAAACCTGGCATTTAAATCATATTTTCTTTTTAGGTAAGGTTTGGTTTTGTGTTTGTGTTTTGTTTGCTTCGCTTGTTTCCCCTCCAAACCTTTGTTCTCTCTCTGTGAACTCACCTTTCTTTCCTTGTCTTTCTTTTTTTGTATATTATTGTTTACAATAAATATACATTGCATTAAAAAGAAAATGGTCCTATGATTTATTCACCCAGTTCTCCTGTGAAAAGGATGATATGGGGAGTGGGGGCACAAAAGAGGGGGTTCTACGATGTTTTTATTTGCATGTGCTCCTTTGGCAGTCTTGAAATAGACCTCAAAGAAAAGAATGTGAATCTCCATGCATCTTGAAAAGATAGATCACGTGGAGAATGACAGATCCATAGTCGCCCACACTGACAAAATGCTTCTGGGTTTTAACAACCTCTGGCTTCAGGGCAAAAGCTGTTCCCTACAGAGGTCAGGGGGAATCGGGCATATTGGGCCTGACATCAGCAGTCTGTGAGGAGACAAGAGTGCCAGAGGGGGCGACTCCCTTGTCCGAAAGCCATATGGCAAACTTTGTGCTACTATGAACACATCCCAAAGAAATGGGGTGCCCACTGTCAAGGCAAAGGGATCCCTAGTGAAAGAGGCTCTAGGAGGGACCAGAGGAAAGCCAGAGATATTAACCCATTAAAAATGACTCAGGTCTTTCCTGACTTCTCCACAGAGACAATGGAAGGAGATTACCTTAGTTTCTATTGCTTCCAGTTTAACTCATTCTGAGCTAATGCAAAACCATCCTAGAAGAAATGGGACCTAATCCTGTTTTCCTTGGCCCCAGTTAGGTGGGGAGTTTCCAGGTGCAGAGAAACCTGGTTGGGGTCATTTTTCATGAAACAGATGAAATCACTCCTTCCCGCCCACCTCCTGTAGCCCCAGCTCGGGACAGGTGGGGAAGTGAGGCAGGTGAGGAAGTGTCCCCGAGAAGGTAAGTCACCTCTGCTACCTCGGGACTGTGGTCCTGACAGTCCTCCTGCCATTACCTCACGTTGTCTGCTTCTGCTTATTGGATTCCTGGCATGCAACCCACGTGGGGATCCTGGCAACCAGGAAAATGGAAGTTACCAAATCGAGGCCACATTAGTAATCAGCCTCCTTTGCAAATTCCTGCAACAAATGCGGATTGAAGGCCTGTGATCTGCAGGGGCCTGTGCAAATCCCCACCTCTGCAGACATCAGATTCTGCTCTGCTCCTGGTTTGCGCCACAGCCTCCCAATCACTCAGGCCCACGGTTTATCCACCATTCTTACAAAATCTCTCTCTCTCTCTCTCTCTCTCTCTCTCTCTCTCTCTCACACACACACACACACACACGCACACACACACACACACACTTTGGTCAACATTCACGAAGTCCTTTTTAAAAGTCTTTGTGGTGTTCACTAATTCTTGCCCACCTTATTTATCCTAATCTCTTTGTCTGATAAAATTATTACTCACTGTCCCAGCTGTGAACAACCCCTTCCAGATCAAAACTGTCCTGTTTGCTAGACTTTTCTCTTTCCTGAGCAGGAGACCCCGGGGCAGGCCTTCTTAGAGCCAGAATGTTCCATTTGGACCTCAGCTTGCTAGGTAGCCTAAGGCAAGTTGCTTCTCCCTGTGACTCAGTTGCCCTCTTCCCTGAGACTGTTTCTCATTACTCCTACTTGTAACATAGTGGTTAATAGAGCAGTTTTTCACCCAGAAATAGTCAGGGAATTAACTGCACCCGCCTCTTCTGGTCTGTGCAACAGTCCTCTTGCTTTCGAATTTTGCAGAGTTGACACCCAGGACAAAGGGTTCTCTGCAAAGTCCCAGAGAGGCTTGGATACAGAAGACCCGGGAGTCCAGAGAAAGAATTCCTCAGAGTCTCACTCACCCTCATCCACCAGAACTAGCCCAAAGCCCCATATCACCAGATTAAAAAAAAATAGTTTAGAGGAATTTTTATTCTAAATCCAGAAACATAGAGCTTATCACCCTGGCAACGAAAACACACTGATTGGAGGAAACCTAGCAAAGAGTCCTCCAGAACAGAAAAAGCTTGTACTTAGACCCAAAGGTATTTGTTTATTTGTACTCAAGACATTTCTTTTTTAACTATTTTAACAAAAAGGGAGTTAAAAAAAAAACAAGAAGGAATAAAAACAAACTCATTTGAAATCAGTCTTTTGGCCTATGGTGAAAACACATGGGCTACTGTGAGCTGTGTGCTTAATATTCCCACTTTAACCCTGTCCTATCCTTTCTCATCCCCTGATTTCCAAAATGAACACCTCGAAGGTACCACTATGACACATTTTATATTCCTGGGTGACCCATCACCACAGTCAGAAACGGATTTACTAAGAAGCAAACATAGAGGCTGAACTTCAACACTCCTAAAGGACAAGCTTGGGGGTTTATATTTAATCTCATTGTTTCAAAATTATGTTCTTTTTCTTAAAGAGCCCCCGCAAAATAATTTTTGTTTTAAAAAGTAGGAGAAGCTTCAGCCTTCACAAAAGCTGGGTCCGCCCGTGACCATAGCTGTAGGGCAGTCAAACCATGGCAGGGAAGCCTGCAAACAAGACACATATCAATCAGTTCTCAACAGTGGCTAGCACAGGGTAGGTGCTTAATTAATACCTCCTTCGTAGCATGCCCACCACCTGATGGCATGGCCAGAGAATCCATCGTTGGGACTTTCTATAGTAACATTCTACCATGAATCCTTGCCCAAGTTCCTTATCACTCTGGGACGCAAATGATTTTTATTCCACTGGTAATGCTATCTTGTGGGCAAAATTAGAGTCAGATTAGGTAAGGCATGAAGGAAGTGTTATGATTCCCCCACCCAAAACTTATTTACTTCACCTTTCGTATTCATTTCTTCTTATCCTTTCTTATACCACCTCTCTTGTGCATTTTCGTTGGGCAACCCATGGACTCTTGCAGCCAAAACATCTGCTGTGCCCTAAGAGGGATAATTCCTTCTCCATCCTTCACAGATTAGAACTAGTTTGCTCTGGGTTCTGGAGGATAACCCTTTTTCAGATCAAATCCAACATAGTCAGCCAATCTCAAATGTGCACTCGTTTGAAACAACAAGACTAAATTTGGGGTGATGTGTTTATTATCGGTACACCACTGTGAGACAAATTTCTTAAATTTTCAGGATTTTATATTGAACTTAATCTAATTCCCATTCTTCTCTGCTACCATATTGCACTTGAAGATATTTCTGCTCTCGTTCTTTCTACTTCCTCGTTTTTTCCATAAACATTTTTTAGGGGAGGGTACAGGGATCAAACTCAGGTCCTTGCACTTGTGAGGCAGGTGGCGGCACCACTGAGTTAAATCCCCTGCCCTCCCTAAACATTTGTTGACCTGCTTTTGCGAATCAGAATAAAGCAATAAACAAGAAAGACTGCGCTGGAGCTTACATTTCCTCATTTGCATTTTCTTATCTCATCCTACAAAAAAATGCAATTGATAGGGTCCTCCGGGAGGCTACACAGGAATAGGGGAGTTGGTCACCAGTTTCAGAATGGTTTAGTGAGAACTTCCTGACCGCCTTTTTTTTCTCTTGTAATCTTCCTCTACTTTTCAGTGACATGAAATTTACTGCATTCCAATTTACATCTAACTCATGACCCTGCATGAGTCTACACATCTCACCTTCCTCATTTTACCAGAGACTCCCAAAGAAGGATTCCATACCTGGTACCCCAGAAGGTCTCCTGGATCTCCTGAGGATTGTTTAACGTAGCCTGCATGTTTATTGGAACCAGAGATTAGGAAGGTGCAATGAGAAGGCTTTCGATCTGTGGGTGTTGTCACTGTAGAAATACTTTGGATGATCTCTCAGCTGTTGAACACTTGACCATCTTTTCTGAAAAGCCTGCATTGACTGGGAGGTCACTTCCGCTATCATGGAGATTTTTAACTGTAGTGGAAAAATCTTATCTCTGTATCTTCTACCCAAAAGTCCAAAAGTGCAAATGTCTATTCCAGTAGGGTGTGAATATCTTTCTATCCAAATGAAAGATAGCCCTTCAATTATTGGTACTCTTTTCAAGTTTTTTAGTGTTTTCCTCCCAAGCTAAACATTTCCAGTACACTTTATATGTGATGTTTCCCAACTCCCTTCATATCGTGTTATTCTTCTTTGAATATACTATACTTAGTATGCCCAGAATTATTCCTGGGACTCTGAATATGGTTTGAATACCCAGAATTATTACTGTGAATATGGTTTGAATAACACAGAAATACTAGTGTATTTACCATTATTATAATCAGAAATTGTGCTTCTGTTCATACAAATTAAAATTGCATTGTCCAAATCACCTAGTGATGCTGAGCAGTTTCTCAGTCTGTGCTTCAGAGACTGATGTTTTGAACCTGATTATTAAGTTTCACATTTACCTCTGCTTTAACTGCAGTATGAAAAATATAGGCTGAATGGAAAGAAAAAAGAAAAGAAAAGCAGTTTACATCATTGGGCCCTTACTCTGCCAAGTAGCATGACAGATGTTTTATATACATGATCTCATTTAATCCATTTAGTAACTCTTCAGAAAGGTGTTACTGCAGTTTTATGAAGACAGAAACTGAGGCTCGGAGATATATAAAGCAATTTCCCTAAGGTTACATAACTAGAAAACAGCACAAGCAACCACCGAAGACTTATCCTTCAGGTTTCAAAAGGTACCTTGAAACAGAGTTCATAATAAGGAAAGGAGACAGTGGAGAAATAAAACATTTACATTATAAATTCTGTTACAAGACACCTTCCTCAAGCAACATGGGACCCTAAGATGCTGCCTGTTCAAAATCTCCCAACTTTTCACTTAGAATAAAATGCAAAGTTCTTTACTATATAATTCAATTACCCTACTCCAAAGCTTAGCCAGCTACTACCTATACACTGAATCTGGGCCTCCACTGTCCTTGCAGCCATATTGTCTGTGTACCTCCCCACTGTGCTGGCAGAAATGAGGATATGGAACACACACAGGGGCCTCCAGACCCTAAAATGTTTTTTCTAGCTGGCTCTCTACAAAAATAGTTTCCTGCCCCTTATTGCTATACAATCCAGCCTTTGCCTACTTCTATGACCTCAACTTCTCCCCCTAATTCATACCCCCACCCTGTACCTTTATCCTCATTCACAAATCTCAAGGTCTTTGCTACATCCGGGCCTTGGCACTTACTACTTCCTTAACCGAAGTGGTCTGTGGGCTTTTTTTCTTTTTTAATCACAATGTCCCCTGTCATCTCCTTTCCATATTTCAGATCTTAGCTCAAATGTCACCTGTTCCAAGGGACTTTACCTGAGCATGGAAGATGGAGTGATTCAGACTGCCATCGCTCTGGTTACTGTCCGTTTCAGCCAGGGTGTGCGAGGGAATAGCTTTAATATAGGAGACATAATTTATAGGATTATTTCACAATAGTCACCCAAAAAAGTCAAATGCAGAGGAGCACAAGAGATCTGTCCACACACTAGAGACCAGAAGAATCCAGATGAGGGCCTGGATCCCATAGCAATGCCCCCCACAAGTCGAGCCAGAGGCTTAGAGCCCAGGGCAATGTCTCATGCAAGTCTGTGTTGAGGATAAGCCCCGGGGAGGGGGTCCATACGTCAGTGGTGGAAGCTAGAAAGTCTGCACCTGCTGAGTGAAAGGTCTGTGCCACCGGGATGAGGGATCTACCCTGGAGCCAGGAAGCGAGGCTCAAGGCAAAGACTGGAGCGCCCCTGAAGAAAACAGTAGTCATTCCCTCCAACAGTGAGGACTGGAGCTCCTCCAACAATGAGCCAAGTTCATATCAGGAAGACCACAAGCTTCTTCAGGAAAATCCACAGCACATGAACTTTCCTCTCTGGTTCTCCTTTTTGTGCCATGGGTGACAATCCTCAGGTGGGTCTTCCACACCCAAAACCACTCTGATTTGGTTCAGCTGAGCGAGCATTCCAAGTTGACTGGTAGTTAATGCATTGCTGTATCTTTGGGACACCAGCACTTCCTCATAGGATCTTTGGTGTGTGTTTTTCTCTTTCAACTAAGGCTTTGGACATTTTCACCTCAGTAAAGACACTTTCAGTACAGACAGAAAACTGCAACAGGATCGTGCTTTGAGGCAACATGACAAGGATAGGAGATGGGTAAGTAAATAGCAGAGAACCAATTGAGAGACAAAACAAAAGAAGAATCAAAATGAACTTTAGAAGAATTTTCACCACGTGATGAGAAGAGCAGTTGTATTTTTTAAAAAGAGGACATTGTTCCCCTGAACCAGTTCAGACTCTTGAATTTGCTATCAAATCCTGGCACAAGGAGACCACTTTACAGAAAAATCTTTAGTCCATTGCAGAAGAAATAAAAGCCCGAAATAAGACCATGGTAGTAGAAATTAAAAGCAAATGAAAGAAAAGGACAACTTTGAGAGGAGTAAGAGTTTGGAAGTGGCAGGAGTTGAGAAATGGTGGGACGAAGACAGAGAAGGTGGCATCAAAGACAAGTCTGTGTTCTATCCTCGATGACAAGGTGAGAAGTGGGCCATTTAACAAATTACGGAAGCCAGGAAGTTAGTTGGAGACGCTTAGCCGGCAGTTAGATACATATGTAACCTGTGTGGATTGTTAACTTTCTTCCCTTCATTGCTTTGTTAGACCCTACTCTGGAGCTGGAATCTTCCCTTGGCCCCGAAAGTTCACTAGAGCAGTAGCTGCGGGCAAGGGACACATTCTCAGAAAATAAAATGTCTTTTACTTCTGTAGTTATTTGTCAGCCTTATTTCAATGGAAACACCCCTCCCAACAACTGTCTAAAGGGGCTTCATATTGACTTCTCTCTCCTCTTCAGCTCATGTTTGCTTCAGGATGAAAATATGCCATGCAGAAGGACAGTGACCCAGCCTTTCTGGGCTGTTTGTCTCCTTCCCCAGCAGCTAGCTGTGGTTTCCTATCTGCCCAGCAGAGTCAAGGGGCGAAGGGCCAAGCAAGGGAGAAGAAGCACAGGGCCATATGCCTAGAAGAAGCCAACTTTCAGGTCCAAGTAGACAGTCCAAGCCGGTACTCTCGGTGTGCAAGGCCTCTGATCAGACGTGATTCTGTTTCTCCTGCGTACGCACCTGTACTCTTCATTTGTGTAGCTGTCTTGACTTGGGGAAGACACACCACTGTTCAGACAGGTCGTCTCCAGCTTCTTCTTCTTCACTGTGGAACATATCCAGCCTATTCTTGCTGAGGTCCCCTTGTCCCTTCAACCTGTTCTTCTACATAGGACTCAAAGTGATGCCAGGCTTACTGAGTGTCCCAGGGGACCCATGTTTGGTCAACGGAAACACAATGTTTCCCACGAGAAAGTGCCACTCGTCATATCATCCCTGGTACTGGGACTCAAATCAGGCACCGGCTCTCTGTGCATCCCCACTGGAAAAGCTCATTTCCAAACTTTGCAAACAACCTCTCTTAAAGCCTCATTTGCTCCCTTCAGAGTTAGCAGGTAAAACTACCTTGCCCTCGTAGTGAAGAGGAATACCCATTGCATGACCACAACTCTCCAAAGAGCATCCTGTATGGATTTCTCTTCTCCTCTCAGATACCCTCCTCCCTTATTTTATTGTGGAGGGGAAAAAAAACCAACAACAAGAACAAAAGATAAACATTATATCCAGTGAAATGCATAGATCTTAAGTGTATAACTCAATGATTTTTGACACACGTGGACATTTGAGCAACCACCTCCCTGATCAGATTAGAGAGCATCCTCATCACCCCAGAAAGTCTGCTAATCCCTCTCCCAATCCCCATCTTCCACAGGCAGTCTCTGGGCTGAAGTGTTTTACCAGAGACTTGAGCCCATTCTCGAACTTCATGTTGCTTGAATTGTACAATAGGTGCCCATTTATATCTGGATACTTTCACTCAATATAATTTTGGGGACTCATTTATGCCATTGATGTATCATTAGCTCATTGTTTTCCTGAACAGTATTCTGTTGAATGATTGTGTGAGAATGTGTTTATCTATTTTCCTATGAATGAATATTTGCATTGCTTCTAGTTTGGGATTATTATGAATAAAGCCAGTATAAAATCTTTCTTGAATCAGTATATCGCTGAGTCACAGGACAGAGCAATGGCCAACCTTACAGGAAACTGCCGCACTATTTTCCAAAGTGTCTAAGTCATTTTACACTCCCACAGGTGAGAAAGGAGAGTTCCAGTTCCTCTAGACCAATACTAACATTTGTTGTCAGATTTCTAAATTTCTGATCTCTGGTTCTGTGGAGGTGAAATAGTATCTAATTCTTTCTCTTTGCATTTACAACTCCTCTCCTCCTCTGTTCTCCAGGTAGTGCCCTTGCACATTGTTTTGCACTGCAGAATTCAAGGGACATCAGATCTGATGACTCCCCTACACTCTTATGGAACCCAGATGTTTATTTCCTTTCTTTGGAAAGAAAGAGCTCAGATATTCATTTTTCTTATGACTTTTCATTTGTGCAGCTGCCTCGGCACTGTATGAATCTAGCTAGACCCATGTAGGAACGTGCCAAGCTCTGTGAGGGAGCAGATTGTGCTGGCCCTCCGGGTCCAGCTGGAGACAAATTGAGCTGGGAATACAGGAGTGTCTAATGTGTCTCTCAGGCCCAATTGCAGGCAGCTTGGGAGGTGGAGGAAGTCAAGGGATCAGGAAGGGAAATTTTAAACTCAAGTAAACATCTGAGATTTTCAACAATGCTTGTACAAACTGATCTAAAGTCCCTGGACCTATGGGAAGCTGACTCACAGCTATGCAGATAAAGGATCTGGTAGAAAGAAGACATTTGCGTGACTTCTGCATTTTAAAGATGAAAGGGCCTAGAAATCTAAGAAAAAAATTGCTGTTATTCTGAATGTCCTCCATCTCTGTATGTTCAGAAAAGAAGAGACATCCTCTCTTGCAGGGTTTCTCAGAGCAGAGAAAGAGGAAGGTGTCTGGTGTCCATCTCTCATTCTTGGGCTCCTGGGTTTCAGAATGATCATACATATGACTCCTCCTCTCCCCACAGGACAGCCCCTCACCCCAGCCAATTTTGAAAGTCCCTGAAATTTTTGAAACTTTCACTGAACATGAGCTCACATCTGACCTCTCAGCCTATTTCACCACCCATCTGGCCCCTGTCTGAACCCCTGCCTCCATGAAGAATTCTTGAAATCCATTCTGTTTTCCACCTGCAGCTGTTTTCTGGTATTCAAAAAAATGATACGGCATTTCTAAGTGTCCCAATGCCCCTGCCCCTCGATCCTCTATTCCCACCAACACTCTTTTGCCTTCGGTGTCCATGTTATCTGATAATTTCAATCCAATCACAGCTGGAGTAGTTGACTCTCAGAATCAAGCCTCAACCACACGCAGGACTGCAAATTAAGATGGCAGGAAAACCGACTTGAGAGACAGTGTTATCAGAAATAAGCTGGGAGCAGGAGCCAATCAGTGGATATGGGGTGAAATGAAACTCAGCTGTCCAGCAGAAGCCAGACCCCAGAGCTCTCAATCAAAATGGTCCTCAACACCAACTAGTGCCCGAAGTGCTGTCTTGATCAAGTTCATTCAGCCATATTGCTCAAGATTTCACAATCACTGTAACAATAAATGTTTCTTGTCCCTTTACCACCTGACCCACTCAATGCCAGAAGCTGATGGTAGAAAGGTAAACCAGACAGAGAGGCTCTGCCCTTTGTAGGAAGAGCCTATCATCAAACAAGTGATGTTAATAAACTACGGAGGCTTGTATTTCTGGATTAAATATAGTCAAGAGAGTAAATCAATGAAAGAGCATACAGTCAGGTAGACCCTTGGTATATCTAAACATGTATTGCCTTTAAATACCAAACAAAAAACAAAGGTTTGCTAATGAATAGGATTGCCTAAAAATATCAACATCTTAATCTGTAGATCTATCTGCTATTTGATTAGCATTTGAATTGCTCTACATAACTAAGATACATTTTATCACTGTCTTATTGATTGAATTGATGATAATTACCATTCATTACTGATGGTGAGACATAGATAAGGAACAGCCAACTCCTCGCTTCCCCAGAAACTGTCTATACCATTAGGATGTCTACACTCTTCCAACAAGTTGTTGTGTTTTTCCCCCATGGGTTTCCCAGAGTCATCCGGCTCTGGAGAAAGACCAATGGCTTTTAACTGGGAGCTAGTGATTATGACTAAACATCTTTTCTGCTTGTTCAGCGTGTCATCCCTGTCTGTCATCGACAAATGGTGCATTAAACCTGCTATTGGCCTACGTGCCAAGAACTCAACAACAACAACAATATCAACAACAACAACAAAATCAAGTTTAAAGAAAGTTGGGGGGGATTTGCATGTGGCAGAAGAAAGAACAGCCCCCACTG